ATTTGTTTTAAAACCAAGTTTACACAAACTGATTATATTATAATTTCATATAATTACGAACCATTTATAGTCATTTTTAAGACATTTATCGACAATTTTTTAAATTTTGCTACCAACATACAATCACAAATATAATAATAGTTTTTACAATGACATGGATTGTTTACATTCACCCCTTTTACTGGAATTGCATAAAAACCAGTAAATTTAAAAAATAAAAAACTCAAATATGTTAAACAGATATCATGTACCATTTCTAATTTTGTTTAAATTTGTACTTTTTGAAGTAAAAAGAACATGAAATCGAATGTCTTTACCAAATTTTTAGAAATGCACAAAATATTTTTTAATACGATTAAAACATTCATATTATAAAAAATAACTTCGAAAAACAGTTGAAATTCTTAAATAGTTTATTATTTTGTTTATCAAAACGCTTGTATCATTTTTCGCATATCAAGTACTTCCATAATATGGTTTGCAAAATGATAGAAATTCACAGAACTTTCATGGAATTTGAAAAATTCATGTAGAAGGTTATTGTAGGCTCCACGTATTAAAATAAAAGAAATTAGTCCTACCACGTTTGTCATATTGTATTTTTTTAAATATTTTCTTTACTTGTTTGCACTGTTCTGAATCTGTTATTACAGTTCATGCATTGATATTCCTTTCCTACTGCACAATTCACATAAAGGATAATACACCTCTGTACTGACATCCAATATGAATCAGAGGAAAAGGAAATGTAATAAACTGTCAAATCTGAGTATTTAAATTAACATATGCATTCAGTCAATGTACTGAGCAAGCCAGCGGAAGCCTTCACCATACCCTTGTCTTTTCAGCACTGAGCACATGAATAATTCCAATGGACGACCGGCTATTTCGCTACGAGAAATTTTTCCCTAAAATTCAAATATTTTATGTTATTAGGTGTGTTAAGCAAAATATAACAGTCTACTAAACATACCTTTCCTGTTGTCTGACCATAAAGGCTAAAGTAATTTCTAAGTTCATCCTCAGAAGCTGCACCTGGTTTATCAATTTTATTTCCTAGTACTAAAACTGGACATGCACTAAGTTGTTCATCAGTTAAAAGTGCATCAAATTCAGTTTTTGATTCTGGTAACCGTGATCTGTCACTTGCATCAACAAGAAATACTATTGCATCCACTGCTGGAAAATAGTCTTTCCAAACTCTTCGTGCTGTAACAGTTTCTTATCTTAGTAAATGTAAAATTATACTGCTTAATCCTTTCACTACTATTGAGTTATACCTTGAGGATGCCCTCCAAGATCAAATGTTGTGAACCTCATATTTCCAATAGAAAGTTCTTCCGATGCTGAAGCATGAATACACATAAAATACTATTACCAAATAATATAAACAATTAAAGTTAGGTTAGAATTATACCTAAAAAAGATAAAAGTTAAAAAATAATGAAACAGTTATGACATATTTTAAATAACAATTACTTGGATGCAATGTAGGCACATGTTGAGCTAGTCGGTCATCTTTGAGCATGTGAAGTAATGTGGTTTTGCCTGCATTATCTAAACCAAGAAATAAGAGCTTACCACTCTTTTTCCAGAGACCTAAAAATTAAAAACAAAAGTCATATATAATATATGTACATATGAAAATCAAATTGAGATCAATATTAAATCACAATAATATTCAGCAATTTTTTATTGAAAGAACAAAAGTTAAAGTCAAATTATTCTTATATATTTAACATTTACATAATATGTATTAAAAGTTATGAAAATAGCACTTACCAAGGTAATTTAAAACTCCTGCAAACCAATCCCAAATGAACATATTTGTAGATGTAAATGTATATCACGTCCACTATGTACTAACTACTGAATGACTCTGCAACAATGATGAGTTGACAAGATTATCGTCTGCAAGTAATTATACTTTACAATAAAACTTGCTCTTTAAAAGACAATGTACTCGTGATAAAATTTTAAATGTATTTTAACTATGACAAGAGATGTTATAGATGAATAGGAAAAACAATACGCATTAATAATTATTTATTTCAAAATAAACATTAAATCACTACCGTTTGTTACATCGAAGGCAAGAGTGGAATTTAGCATACGATCGGTGGACGATTAGAATTGAAATGCAACAGACTTACCAGATCTCACCTACAAATAACAGTTTTAGAATCTTTTGTTCACCACCACCAAAATGAAAAATTACAGGCAGGTCAGAAAAGCGCTCGCATGGTATAA